TTTTACTGAAATCAGTAATAAATTTAAAATAAAAAAAATTAAGTTAGAGTAAGGAAGGCAATGGATTTATAATTGCTCATGCTAATAACACTTTATTGTGGCATAGAGGAGGAATAGTGGAACTGTATCCACATTTACAATATTCTTCTTACCAAAACCATTTATGTAAAATAGGAACTGCAGTGGAACATGCATCTCTGGAATGGAAATGATCATACTGTTAATATTTCTAGCCTTAAACTTAAAATATTATATTGTTCAAAATTATTTGTTATATACTTGTTTAAATTTTTCCCTCTTTTAACAACTGGGATCTAGCAGGAAGAGAAAAGACCAGAGAATGCCCAAAACTATTGGGGCAGTTATTGCTGCCAGGTTAGGGCTTGTGTCAGGAAAAGGAAGTCTTACTCATAACCAGTGCCATCCAAAGGTAATAAAGGAGGTCAGAATTGCTTCCACTGTGGAAAGCAGGGCCATTTCAGTAGACCGTGTCACAGACGAGAGCCACAGATAGGCAAGGGAGTAGAGAGGAAGCTCCCACTCACTTGCTTTAAGTGTGGATTTGAAGAACACATGGCCAAGGGTGGCCCACATCAGGTCCTCTTGGCTGACAGGATTGACAGGCCCCAGCTCCCAGCTGGAAACAAAGGAGGATGCTTCAACGATTTAGATCCTCTCAGAAGAGCTGTGGGTGAGCATTAACATTACTGGTAAGTATATTCATTTTCTCTTGTACACAAGAGCCGATTATTTGGTCCTTAACACCTTCCGAGGTCCCAACTCTTCTCACTATTTCTTAGTTGTTGGATTTGACGCAAAACCTCATAAGCAGTTCCTTACTTCACCTCTGCCTTGCATGTGGACTTCCGAGCTGTAAAACAACCCAGTGGTAGATGGAATTTTGTCTAGGACTTAAGAATAATAAACAACATAGTTGAGCCTCTACATCTTGTGGTTTCTAACCTTTATACTATAATAGATAAAGTGCGAGTCAATAAGCCTTTTATTTTAAGAACTACCCTCCCTCTGTAACTTGATTTGTGCCACTGTTAGAACCTCTACTTGGAATATTATTTCTTTTAATTTTTAACTCATGTACTTTTAACTTGTTAGTGCAACAATGAATGAATGGAAACTCAAAATCTCTGTAACTGTTCATTAAAATTAATAAAATTTAATAAAAATTAAGAAAGAAAAAGAAAAAATCTCCCTTTGGGAGGCATAGTACTGTCTTCAGAGTAACTGGGTAGCAAACAGCTACTATACTCTGGGACTAACTAGAGACCGGAAGTTTAAATCCATTCAAAAGCATCACGGAATAAAGGCCTGGCTGTCTACTGCACCCCCCCCCAAAAAAAAAATCAATCCCTGTAAAACCTACAAAGGACAGTGTATCGTGTACATGTAACATCACCTTAGGGCAGAAATGATTCAATGGCAACTGGAGTGAGGTAAACACTGTCTTCCGTTTACTATGGAATTATTTCATTTAACACAATCATTTATAGGGACCCAGCACCAAGAGAATTTTGTTCACCAAGTTAATAAAATAATTAAACAGTTACTACTTCTAAAGTATGTATTCTGATTGTGTAGATCCTCCCAATATAACTCTTAGCTTCCAGACAGACAGACAGACACACAGACACACACACACACACACACACACACAGACACACACACACACACCTTTACTGGGGTTGGTACCAGGTGGTAGAAAACAAAATAAAACAAAAAGTTGCTACTGTCCTAAAAGCATTTATGATCTGATGAGAAGTTTTCCCTCAATCAAATTAATCATTGTTAAAAAACACATTTAAAAACATGTAACAAAGAAGATTAGCTGAAAATAAATTTAATAATGCTTTGTTGTTGTTGTCTGCCTTCAGGATGGAACTGACCCACAGCTGACCTTCCAGGGGGGTTTTAGAGGGAATAAATCACATAGGAGGAGATCTTTCTCCCAACGAGCAGTTAGGAGAATCACAACAAATATCTTTGTGATTGCCTTGTAGCTTCTTACCACTAGGCCACCAGAGCTACCAGGTTCTCCTAGGCTGTCACTTTTCTATCTGAGTTAAGGACACTGGTTGTAGGAATATGAAACCATATAAAGCACTTGATAAGAAACTAAAAAACTATTTTCCAAAATTAAGCACACGCTTATCATGTAATCTAGTATTCTAGTTGATATTTATCCAAAAGAAAAATAAGTCCATACAATGAAACATGTTATTGCTCATAAAAGTTTCGGTCAACCTATTTAAAACTGGAAGCAATTCAAATGTTCTATCAATGTAAAAGAAAAACAAATTAAAAACGCTCCTCAAACTTAATTCACTGTCATTTAATCCAAACCAACTCAAAGCTGAGCCTCCACTGTGTTTCCACGGAGGTAAAACACATGAGAGAAGACTGAATCTTTCTCCCTTGGAGCTTCTGACAGATAAGTTTAGTTCAAATTTCTGAGCATCTATTATAGTCTAGTTTGGGGATCAAAACAGAATAATTTGTAAACCTGGACACATTAATAAGCTCTGCAAAGTGCCATGGCATTGGTTTAGATAGAAGATCAAACCACACAGACAAACATTAGGCTCCAGGAGGAACGCCACCACTGATCCTAGAAGGCAGAGACAAGGAGCTAGAGGGGTAGGGCAAGGAGCTTTGAAGACAAAGAGATGAGTAGAAATAATTTCTGGGAAGAATAAAACATTATGGACTGTTTTGGGAGTACAAGAATTTCATGAGAGTATAAAATGTAAAGGGCAAGAAAGGTTGTGCAAATATTGCGAGGTAATGGCAGAAGATGAATGTAGAAGGAAAGCAGAAATTAGATGCAGAAGAGACACATCCTGTCAAGAAGCTTGCGCTTCATCTATGAGCAATAAAGAGGTTTCAATGGGAAGGTTTAAATAGAAAACTGCTACTGGACTGAGAGATTCCCTTTATGTGCAATCTACTATGAGGACTGGTACGGTAAGCAAACACAAAAGGAAGCATTGAGAACTGAGAAGTTAATATAAACAGCTCAAGCCAAATTTGCTCCAACAGATATTTAACATACAATACAAAACATTCCATACTCATTTTTATAACATGACTGCATATAAAATATTATTTACAAATAGGATTAGTAACCAATAACAAGGTTGAAAATAAAACTCAGAAATAATATTGGAAAGGAATGTCAACTAGCCTTCAATCAAAATACATCTTCATTGTGGATGTCACCAAGCTTATTCTGATTATCCATTATGATGACTGAAGATACAATTGTCTAGGAGACAATGAATAAAGAACTACAAACACAATCTAAAACATAATCTTTTAAAATATTACATAAGATCTAAAGGCAGTGTCTATGAAAAAAAAATCACTGGTGGATTTAGATTGTTTAATTGAGACATGGTCATCCCAGATCAACAATGGTTTTATTTTCCAAATAACCATATCATTGCTGAAAATCTAACACAAATGTTTTAATAAACTGGTAGGTAGTCCTTGAAAAGTAAATACAAAATGTTTGATGCAAGAGAATAAATTAACAAATAAATGATTCAAAATATTTTAAATTTAGATATTAATTTTATTAAGCTTAAAATATTTCTGAGTTAACACACAGTAGTAAAGTGAATTTGAAACATCAAGCATGAAATTTAGAATTGTAGGGGCATGCAATAAAAGTGATACTTAACAACTGTTGACTATATTTTAAAACATTTCCTTTTCATGAAGACCTATTCCACATGCTATTATAAATGTGATTTATCCCTTTCATTTCTGTATATTTGTTCTAAATACAAAATGTGTGCCAGAATACTAACTTTTCCTTATAGCTCTGCTATTGGCTTCTGGTTTAAGCAAGACAGCAACTTTACCAGATTTTGGTTGTAACTTAAATTAGCTGTATAGAAAACCTTTAAGAATTATAAAAGCCATCTATAAACTCATCTCGGCATTTCAGATATGCTAAAGTATATATCTGTACAATTTTAAAAAATCCCTTTTTAACCTATGTAAATATATGTCCAATGAAGTGACACATTTCCCTTTGAAGACATGTATATTAAATATAAGCTTCCCTTTGAAAACATATATATATATGCAGGGGCTTTTTAAATCAGAAAATACAAGTTTCCTCTACGGTCCTTACTTCCAATGATAAGTGGGGGCATGAAAAACTGATGATGAATGAACATGTCATATAGCCTCATGAGCACACAAAGAAACTGAAAAGTAGTATATGTGATGGAATGGAAATAATCTACTAATGTGTTGTTGCTTTGTGTCAATGAGTTACCTGTGACTCCCAGCAAGCAACCCTCTGTAGCAAGATATTTAATTCTATGTATTCAATAGGAGTCAATTTTTTAAAGAAAGCAATCTAGCAATTCAAGATAAGAAAAAACTCTCTGAAGTGGCTGTTTTGCACCTTAAATTAAGAAGTCTGCAATTAACTTCTCACCCCTCAATCCTCACTGAGCAAAGGCAGTGTGATTAGTGCACTTCAGCGGACCGTCAAAAGGACACTAGTTTTCTTTCAAGAGACCCACAAAACCCACATTCCAAGCTTCTGCCTTTCAACAATGTCCACTCTAGCTTCACATGGTCATCTACATTTTCCACTTCTAAACAACTCATTACAAGTTTTATGACATGAATACTTCAATACTAATACAAGAGCAAACATGAATTTGTCAAATGAATGGTTTGAGTTTGCCAGAATCAAGAAACAGAACTTGAAGGAAAGGATACACATGAAATTAAGGTCCAGATTCCTTTCCCCAATCCACATGACTGAAGTGCAAGACAAACAGACTCAGCAGTCGCAATAGCAGGACACAAAACTGCACTGCCACCAAGAACATTCGTCAACAACAGGGGCTCTCCCCTTGGCAGTTTTAACATGCCACACAGCTCTTTGCTTACTGATGCAGAGAAGCCAACAGGGAGACAGTTTATGAGGAAAAGTGAGACTGAACTAGCTAATTACTTACCTTCTCACTTATGGTAGGCTTGCTCCTTTAACTTTTTCTCTCTTCTCTTGTCATAGCTCAGGGCCAAATGGTTATGATTCAGCAGAAGTTTGAACCTGACAGTTAAAAAGAATATTGAGTTTTGTTTTGAAGGGGGGGAAAATTATAAATTAAAAGTTCCCTCCACTGCAGTTTTTCTCTCCTTGCCCTTTGCGTGCGTGTTTCTCTCCGGTTCTCTCTCTCTGCAAAGCAGCTACGTAGTGGTCTATAAATATTGACCCTGACACTTGCTCAGTGCTTTCCCTGCTCGTGGCACAGGTCTGTGTTACTGAACACCGTGGTAATACTCAGTGAAGTTCTCAGCTGCTCAGAGACAAAGCTGTGGATTGGCTTACTACCCAGCAACCCTGTGCCTGCCTGGAAATACCATTTCGCTGCCAGCTTTACAGATGCGAGGGGCCTTTCCTGAGGCCCAAATCAGGCACAGAAGGGCAATTATGAGGTTGGTCTGAAGAAACACAGCTTTCTCCAAGCAGGTGGAGAAAAGGGGGGGCACAATGTAGCAGGAGACAGGAAAGGAAATACTGCCTTTGTCTTAGGTGGACAATATAATCTCAAATCTTTTCTCAAAGTCATAAACAAATATCATTCAATCAAGCACTGTAAAACTTAAGAACATCATATTATGAATGACCAAAAGAGATAGACAAGCACCCCTATGAATTTTAAAAATACTAATCCTCAATAAAAAGAGCTGTAGTGATTATTCACTGCAAAGTAGTACTTTCATAGAAGTAAAATCATCAGAAACATTATTATTAATCAAATCAAATTATGCCTTTGATGAAAGAAGCTAAAATAATAAAAAATATTCATTAATATAACTTCACATAGATTTTTAGATATGCATACTTCATTAATCATGACAGCTTGAATTTTTTTTATATTAAGGATAAATATCAAGGAAAAAATATCAAGGAAAAACTGGGTCAAGGGAGAAGACAAAAATATACAAATCCGTGTGCTCTCTAATGGAAAGAAGTATACGGAAAGGACAGTGAAACATCACGGATATTTTCCTGGTGGTGCTTGTGGTGGTTAAGACAACACAGGAATAAAGATAGTCTGAGTAAGATTCGAATAGGCAAATAGATTGATTTTATAAATGGTAGGTTCCAAAGCTTGGGAGTATCTTGTTGTGCTATTGTTGTTAAGTGCTGTCAAATCGAGCACAACTCAGAGTGCTTCTAAGGACAAAAAACCTGAACCCCATTCTATAATTACTGTTGTTTCTCTAAGTTCATAAAGTTTTCTTAAATTCTCAATGTTCATAGAGTTTTCAGAGGCATGTTGTTTAGGAAGTGGATGCCAAACTGCTTCCAAGCCAGTATCTTAGCAGAGCTATTTTGGGGCAGTTCCAGTCAGTTATTCTGATTAACACAACACATTTGAGAGTCACTGACATATAAGGAATAGTTGACCAATGAGTATAAATGTCAAGGAGAACTGCTGATAGGTTCCGTGGAGTCCACTATGACTCACAGTGACCCTATGGACAATGGATCTGAAACCTGCCCTATCCTGTGCTTTCCTCTGTTACATTACAGAGTCCATTCTAACACTCAGCTTTGTCAATCTCTCACTGAGGGTTTTCTCCTCCTTCCTTGACCCTCCACTTTTGCAGGCATGATGTCTCTTTCTCCAAGAAATGATCCCCTTAGTAACTTGCCCAGAGATGTAAGACAAAGTCTCACCATCATTCCCTCTAAGGAATATTCTGGCTGCAGTCTCTCCAAGACAAGTCTCTTGCTTCTCTTACATATCCATGGGATATTCAATGACCTTCTTCAACACCATCACTCAAAGGCATCAATCCTTCTTCTGTCATTTTTATTCACTGTCCAACTCTCAGATCAAGTAACTGACAATATCATGGCTTGGATCAGGTGCACCAGAGTTTTTAAACTGACATCTTTGCTCTTTAGCACTTTGAGAGGTCCTTGATTGCAGACATATCCAATGCAAAATATCTTTATATTTCCGTGCTGTTGATTGTGTATCCAAGTAAGATTAAATAATTGACAATTTCTATCTTTCCTCCATCTATCACAATGTCCTCTATTAGCCTGGTGGTAAGAACTTTTCTTTTCTTGATGCTGAGATGTAATCCATATTGAAGTTCGCCTTGATCTTGTCCAGCAAATACACCAAGTCCCCCTCTCTTTCAGCAGGCAAGGTTGTGTCATCTGCATAATGCAGGTTGTTGATGAAGCTTCCTCCAATTCTGATGCCACATTCTTCTTAAAGTCCAGTAGCTCAAATGATCTACTCAGTATACAGATTTAAAAATTATAGAGAAGGAATGCATCCCTGATGTACTCCTTTCTTGATCGTAAACCACACAGTGGTCTCTTGTTTTGGTCATAAAACTGATCCTTGGTCTATGTATAGATTTTGTATAAGCATAATTATGTGTTATTGGATTCTCATTCTTCTCAATGTTATTCACAATTTGATTTGATATGTTCCACATAGTAGAATGTCTTTGCACCAAGAACACAAGCAGACATTGTTGTTTGCCTCCAAGTGGGAACTGACTTCTGAGACAGTAAACTGCATGGGAGGAGATTGCTCAGCTTTCTTCCATACACCACAAGGAGAATTCAAACCACGCGTCTGTGGGATCGCAGCCCAGGTTTTAACTACTTTGCCACCCAAGTGCCCAGCCACTAGAGGGCTGTAGTATCACTGGGATCCCTGCCTGGTGCAAGTAAGTAAAGCGCTCATCTGTAAATTTAAAGTGTGGAGGACAGAGTTCATCAGAGATGCTTCAGAACACAGGCCCAAAGACCTGCTTTGAAAATCTTTTGGAGAGATTTCCAACAGTGGATGAGGCAGAGGGCAGCCCACACCCTCCACAAATAAGGCACTAGAAAACAAATAGATACTGAGGATAATCTAAATCCTTGAGCTTCAAAATGGGAAAAAAAGTAGTTGAAATACTAAGAGAAAAACAGCAACTTTAATAAAAAAATCAGATAAGAGGACTGACTACATACTGAATTATTAATAGACCTGGAGCAGCACAGTCATTTTGAACTTTTGCAAGAAGGCTTCTGATTGGCACAGAAATCCATGACTATTAAGAGTATTATCTCCTTCTTTCTCCTCAGTACCATAGTTGGAATCAGGGGATTGACTGACTTTCCTTCCAACTACTCGCACACACTGGGTATATGGTGAGGAAGGGGCCAGGTCTCCACAAAAGACCTCATGCTAAGAACAGTGGAGGAGCAAAAAGGGAGTCCCAGCAAGATGAACTGACACAGCGATTGTAACCAACAGTTAATTCAAGCATGGTGGCGATCAGGAGGACGGAGCAGGACAGGGCAAGGTCCAAATCTGTTGTTCAAAGGGTAAGTCTGTTGACTTACAATCAAAAAAAGCAACACCTCATCAAGTAGCCAGCATTATTTACCCAGGTTCCACAGCTCTGCAAGAGGCAAGGCTTCTTCACGGAATGTATAACTCCATGAACTCTCAAAGCTCCATGTTCAGGAACTCAGTGGCATGCTTTCAAACTCCAGGTGTCTACAGAATGTTCTGTGAAGGAATGTGGGGAGTAAGTAGCCATCTCTGACTGGGTGCCTGGCCTGCACGCAAGCCCTGTTCTTGGTATGTGCACTGAGTTGGAACCAACTCATAGCTGATGCTTCAGTGGGTTTCCAGAGGCAATTAACAGCACAGTTAATCACATGAGAGGATACTGTACATCCTACTCTTCACAACCTATGTAGTGCACTATCTCAATTCAAGCAGATTTTCTAAGGCGCCTCAGGGACAAATAGAATCTCCTTCCTAGTCCCACTTTCCTAGGTGAGCAGAGATGATACACCTGGGCCTATTCCCCACCCAGGTGCTCCCTGGTGCCCTCAGCTACCTTTCAGATAAACAGAAATTATACTCATTGTCAGAACTTAAGCCCCAAACTGCCTTTAGAGTACCAAAAACTGCTCCAGACCAGACGTCTTGTTTCTAATTGTCACACCAGCGGCAAGAACACCTATCAGATGCCAAGCTCCCCACGCCCAACAGATGTCACATCTTTTTCCTTTCCCACTTTTTCTTGTCTTTTTCTTTCCCATATCTCCTTCCCCCAGCCACTTCCTCTGTTTTCTCCTGCAGTTTCTTGGGATTCCCCAACCCCCCTTGTCCAGCATGGGGTTTGGCTGGGTTTCCTCCCCTCAAGTTGTTACACACACACAGAGAGAGAGAAGAGAGAGAGAGAGAGAGAAATGAAAAGATTTTGTTAAACCAAACCAACCTTAAAAGACTACTAAAGAGAGTTCATTGGACAGAAGCCCAACAACAGCAAATGTTGTTAAATGCCATTGAGTAAACTACAACTCATAGCTAGCCAAGAACCCTCTCCTATCCTGAGTAATCTCACTGCCTCCAACACAACAACCTCTCCTTCACAGTCACTGTGTCAATCCATATCATCTGGGTCTTCCTGTCCTGTGATGACCCTTGATCCTTCCAAGCATAATGTCCTTCTTCAAGGACAATGGCATATAGCAATCCAAAAATTAATACACACGACATTCAAAACTCGCACAGACATAGAAAATAAGCATATGAGAATAAAAACAGAGTTATCAGTTGGTAAATGAGGGCAACTACAAAACAAAAAAAAGGTCTGAGTAATGTAGTTGCAAAACTTCCAAAGATCAATTTTAAGAGAAAAGTATATGGGTTTTGAATTGAGAATAAAGTAGTATATTACAGGAAAAGTGCAAAGCAAAGAACTTTTTCACAAAAATAAAAAAGAGGGAAATCATACAGATTTACAAAACATTAAAATAACTACTATGAAGGAAAGTACTAAATCAATGACAAAAAATGTCACTGGATCCACATGTCTTTGGATCCATAATGACAATGCTTGGTACAAGCAATCAAGAAATAAGGAGATACAATGCAATGAGAAAATCTGCAGTTAGGGACCTTTCCAAATTATTGAGGAGTAATGATGTCAGTTTGAGGACTAAGGTGCATCTGAATCAGTCCATGGTCTTTTTTATTACTAGCTATGCATCTGGGACCTGGACAATGA